TATAGGAGAGTTATGTATGGATATCTTTTTAAATAAGGAACTAACCTTGAAATAATAACCAACAGGACAGGCATAGACAAGGAAAGTGTACTCAGGTGCTGGAGCCAAACCAAAAATAGGACCACTGCCTATTAAAAGAGGCCTAATGTATAGTGCCCCTTTTCCAAAAGGAGGAATCTGCACATTTAATAACAATCCCTCAATTTAATTTTAAAAGTAACAAACTTATTCGATCGGTAATAAATTTCACGATAAATAATTAATTTACCCAACGCTTGTTAGCAATAGCCGTTTGCTTAACAGCCTCAACAAATTGATCAGTCGAAGGACATGGCATGCACATCCTCTCCGCACCAATTTGCATTCTCATCGCGTTCTGGTCAGGACGAAATAGAAATATTCTACCATCCTCTCTTCTATACGCTTTTGTACCTTCAAACAACCCCTGTTTAATCAAATAAAAAATCGTTAAATATTTTTCGATTAGATTTTGGCCATATAATTTATTTATTTAACCTGTCCATAGTTTAAGACACCAGCAGATGGGCTCAATTGGATATTGCCGTAACGATTAAGTTGTCCTTGTCTAAATATTCCATCATCAGAGCATTTTGTAACGTACATATAATCAGTTTGCATCAATTGAAACCCAAGGTTGTCCCAGTCAATATAAGCAGATTCGTCATCGCTACTGACATCACATAAAACAATAATATAAATAAATATTTCCAATTACAATTAAAAATGCTAACACCGCCTCTACAACATGTTATATGGGTATACATATAGTATACATGGGTGATATACACAAAAAAAATTGTTTCAAATGGAAACTCACCTAGAAGTAGGAGCTATTTGTAAAGAAGTTGTTGGTGGTGTAGAGAAGAGGTGAGAGAGAACAGATTGAGAAGAAGCCATTGATTTTAGAGTAGATGGTAGAAGAAAATACTAGAGATTGAAGAAGTATATGATATTTTGGAAGGAATTCATGCACATTATATACTAGAGTTAATTGTGGGAAAAGAACGGACTTCGCCCTTTATTATCTCTAAAATCTACTTGATTCTCTTAGTTAATATTAGGAAAAAAAAATGATAGAGCATATAGTTAGTGCTAAAATACTTTAATATTTTTAGACGGTTGTTACTTATCATTTTATAATGTATTGTAATATGTTGTGTTGTAGTATTATTTTTAATAATTAGGATATTTGAATAGATTGTATTGTTCTTCGTCGTTACAGAGAAAAATAATAGATAATATAGTTAGTTCTAAAATACTTTTTTTAAGGGAAAAAATGTTAAAAATTCATTGAATGGGTGGTTTTTCCACTTAATTAATATATGAACTACTTAAATGCATGTATATATATACCCTAGTTCTATGAATTATTTTGGATAAAAATGTATCCATTAATTTGGACATTTAAAATATATAGCGACTTTTTAAGTGTTTTCTCAACATGTATGGAATTGTTGTAGTATACTGATTATATTTTACTATAAAAATAATAAAATTTAATTTGCCTCAACTATGAAAAATAGGATAACTATACCCATCCGTCTAATGTTGGTCCCTAAAAAGTCATGGCCGTTACTCAAATAATCCAATTATAACTTTCAAAACTAACGTACTTTAATTCACGAGTAATTAAAAAGGTAAAAATACTAAATTTATTTTAGAACTATGCAAAATACAATGATTTTATCCAAACTTAATTCGTTAGTGAAAAATGATAAAATCTAAGGGAGAGTGTAATTTGCTTATTTCTATATAAGTTAATAAATAAAAAAAAAGAGCAAATTAATCCTTTTCACTGTTTTAAGAGTACCAAATACTATTTATATGATTTTTATAGTTTAAATTCTAATTAGGCATGGATCCATGTTAGAATTCATATATGAATTTAATAATATTTAAATTTGCGATACCTTGATTCCAGCTCATTGATCTTGATTGTTGATTCTTGATTCTCAAATTAAATTGTTTTATTATGATGAAAATTTAAAAAAAAATGAATTATATACACTTCTTCTTCATTCTTAAGGCATTAAAATTGTATGTTCTAATCATCGAAAGAAAAAAAAAGCTTAAAAACTCTCCAATAGAAATTAAACAAAAGAATAACATTGATTATTTGAGATATTCTGATCAATTTATTTTAATTGTATCTTTAATTTTTCTTACAATGATCCATATTTACGATATAATTTTTGAAACTATGAGCTATATTTTAAGTGATCCATATTTACGTCTTAACTTTAAGATGGGAAACTATTACTAACTTAAGTTTTTTATTTTATTTTAAGTGATATTTATTCTGTTCGATCGAACAAGTCTAGAAGCAATTTATATATTTTTCTTAAGTATTATATTGAAAGATTACCCTGTGACTTCTTAATTAAGCGCTTCTAATTATTTTTTCTTAATTTCCACAAATTATCCTTGTTTTATCGAAAAATAATAATTTTTGAAAATAGTTCGTTTTATTTTAAAGGTATTTTTGACTTTTAGGAGTCGCCACTTAATTTTTAAGAAAAATCAAGAAAACTTATTTCCAAAACAACTTTAAACAGAAAATTTTGTTTTGAAAATATTTTAGGGGGTTCGGGATTCTTATTCGCGTCTTAGGAAGGTGTAAGGCACCTAAGACACTCCGTTAACTACGGTTTTCTGGCGATTAACTTATTTGACTATTTTTGTTTTAACCTTTACAAATTGAAGTTTGAATTTTATCAGAATTT